AGTGTCCAGGACAAAAAACCCCCTCCCCCCCCCCGCCGCGAACACCCATCAGCACAACATTGCAGGCAAAAATCCCTGCCAAAGAAAGTCCCCCAAAGAGAAAGGTCTCTCTTGCCTGGTGTGACCAGGGGATGAAGCAGGTTGATCCAGGCTTCCTCCCCACCCAAACTCCAAATCTCAGAGAAGGGCCTGGAGGAGGATCGGGCTTCAGCTTCCTCACGGCCAAGCCTGACTGTTGCTCGCTGGCAGAACAGACACACATTCGCGGACGGCTCTCCTTTCTTGCAAGGGCTTCCCTCACCCTCTTTGTGCCCTGGCAGCTTATGGGTTAATGGGAGAGAGTGCTTTTTCCTAGCCAGGCTGCGGACGGAGACTGTCACTTGTGCCCTCCCTTTCAAAATCCTGTTGGAATCCTCCCCTGGGGAAAAAGTCCTCTTCCGCCCACTTCTCTGGGCGTTCCAGTGCAAGGATCCACGAGATGGCAACCTCTGCCAACAGCCTCCTTGATTCACAGCTCATCCTGTCATAGCTTCTTTTTTAAACTGTACCCAACTAGACTAACCCAGACTCAGGAGAGACACAAACGCCCTGCACCTGGACAGGTGGCTTCTTTATCTCTCCCTATAAGAGTTGGGAGGTGTATAAACAAACATAAAAGTGACCTGTGAGTGCTTCCTATATTCCATTCTATTGCTATCTCTATTCTACTGCTACGATAATTACTGTTATATGATGACAATGTTTATACTATTACTATTCAGTTACTATTACGATTACCTATTACTCTACTACAATTACCTATATATTATGCTCTATACTATTGCTAGTATGCATTAACATTTCTTTCTTAAGCCTGTTCTGCCTTAAGTCCCCCCCTCCCCTCCGCCGAGATTTCTTCTTCTTTTTCTGCATGTAGAGCTCTTGCACCTTCTTTACATTGTGCTTTGTCTTGCTGTGCTGCTATGCTTCTTCTTCTCCTCTCTTTTGGACCATCCACTCCTTCTGAAGGAAAAACACCTTCTTTTGTTTGGCTGGTGGCTGGAGAGCTCCAGAACACGCATCTCCTCCTGTCTCCTCCCATAGTCATTGTCAAGATTACAACTTTATTGGCAACTCTGCTGTGCTGATGCTGAGAAGAAGGCTCAGATGGGAGGGAAAGAAGACAGCACAGGAGCCTGCAAATTCGCTAAGCAGCCTGCTCTTCCACAGCCCCAAAGAGACTTTAAGGGAGAAGGCAGGACGTGTGTGATACATTGATGGATTGATTACGTACCATCAAGTCAGTGTCAGCTCTTAGTGACCACGTAGGTAGGTTTTCTCCATGATGATCTGTCCCCAACCTGGTCCTTCAGGTCTTTCAAATGGTGCACCCATCGCCAGCATAACTGAGTCCATCCACCTTGCTGCTGGTCATCCTCTCTTATCTTTCCTTCCACTTTTCCCAGCATCAGAACCTTCTCCAGAGAGCTGGGTCTTTGTATAATGTGTCCGAAGTAGGATAATTTGAGCCTGGTCATTGATGCCTCAAGTGAGAACTGTGAATTGATTTGCTTGATGATCCCTTTTTTTCCCCCTTCACTGTCCATAGTATTCTCAGGAGTCTTCCCCTGGGTGTGTTGCATATAAGATCACATATCTTTTGTAACATGTGGCTCTTTTTATAAACAGCACCCTTTAATCTTTAGATTGATCCTGGAAGGCAGACCTTAACCTGGTTCAGCTCCACTTGAACCTTGACCTTCAGTTCTGAGGAAAGCTTCCAGCACGAGCATCCAAGTCTGGGAAGCTTCTTGGAAGGCAGCCAGGCTCCCTTTAGCCTCTGAGCCAGTCTGGGACCTTCCCCCCATGGGATGGGCAGGCTTTCTCTCATGGGGCTGGGGAGAGGCTCGGGGCATCCATTCTGTGCAAGCTTCACAGCTCCACCCCAGAGGATGTGAGCTGAGTGCAGAGCACCTGATGGGAACATCCAAGACATCTTCAGCTCAGAGGATCTTGGCCCCTGGGCTGCAAAAGCTGCTCTCTGTAATAGTTTGGGATGCTGAGATTTTTCAAAAAAGAATCTGCAATCAATGTCTTAGATTCCTTTCCAGGGAAAGAGAGGGCTTGGAATGAATTCCAGAATCATGCTCTGCATGTGTTTCCTGTCTTCTTTCTTTCTCTTCCATCTTCTGATAGAAACAAGTCTCTTTGAGTTGGTGGTTTCTGTTTCCTGCATTTTCTTTTCTAGACATTTTTCATTGTTTTCTTTCAGTCTGTTCTCTTCCTGTGTGATTTCAAGATATGTATTCTCTATCTTTTTTTTTAATCTCATATTTTATGCAGAATATTTTCAACTTTTCTATTTAATGCCTTATAAAATGGATGTTTCCCCTTTCAGGATCTTCCTGTCCCCTCTCTGCTCCTTAACAAAACCAAGTCTGTAGACATCATAAAAGTTGGATGATAGTGTTTCCTCTAGAAAAGCTATCTCAGAGAGGATCAGAACCTGAAACAATTCAATCAAGAGCCCACTAAAACTGTCATTTGGCCAAAAATGGAAAATTACTCAGCACTAAAAACTTGGGGGGGGGGGGGAATCCTTCACTATTTTGGCTGTCACTGGATGGGATCAAAGATCTCATCCACACTTGAGAAGGATTTTAAAGTTTTACTTATCTGCCCTGTATTACAGAGTTAACTGTTGCAGGAAGTAGCAGATTTGTCCATTCTGCTCTGGGCCTGGAAATGAAGAAAAGCCAGGCCTTTTTAGTACTTGAATAAAAGAACCAGGAAATCTCTTAATAGGCTAGGAAGTCAAGAATACATCCCAGAATTCACTGTGCAAAGCATTTCCATTTTCTTGTAAAGTAAATTATATGGGTATTTCAGTGTACTCACCAGGAACTGAGCTTCACCTTTTCCTTACATAGCCCATGATATCATTAATCCCACCATGAGTACGTAGACATATTAGCCATGAGGCAAGTCCAGGAAGTCAAGTGCATTGAACAGAACAAGCCTCTTTACTCTGTTTTCCTGACAAAGGCATTTGACACTGTAAACAAGGAGGCTCTCTGGGTCATCCTGAGATGTTATGGATGCCCGAGGAAACTTGTGAAGTTGATTCAGCTACTTCTCGATGGAATGACAGGACAGGTCCTTTACGATGGTGATACGTCAGTTGCAGTTGCCATTTCCAATGGGGTAAAACAGGGTTGTGTCCTAGCCCCAGTCCACGTCAGTCTGTTCTTCACTTGCATGTTGCCATGTGCTGTCCAAGGTCTGAAGGAGGGAGTGTACATCAGGTACCGACTGGATGGATCTCTCTTTGACCTTCGCTTCTTGAATGCATGGACAAAGTGCCTCCACAG